TCATATTTGGTAACAAACAACCACAGATAACATCTCAATCTGAGCAAAACCTTGCTTCTCATAGTTGAGCACTGGGACAAATGATGTGACTTTAGGATCCCAACGTCAGTGAGTGTTTTTTTTTTTTTCTGGTGGATCACAGTAGTTGCTTCTCAGGTGTTAGAGTATTAGAAAAAAGTTCAAGGTGGGCAGCCTGATTGTAAGTTTGTTTCTGGTGTTGTGTTCTGGGAGGAAAGATGTTGCGCTGGCTGTCCGACTGGGAAGACCTCTTGTCTCCATGGGTCTGTCCCTCTGCTGTGCAGAACTGTGGTCCCAGCTGGTCACTGTGCCTAGTGTGGACTTGAAGGGAAACTGCACTTCAGGGGCTAATCCCTGCCTGGCACCCAAATACAAGAATTGAATGCCTAGCTGATGTTTATCTAGAGCTCATTACGGCTGCCTGCCGTGTATTGTTCTTAGCCCTGCACACGTGTTGATTTATTTAATCCTGCCAACACCTTCACTTTCCAGGTTAGGGAACTAAGTCACCAGCAGGCTGAGTAAGTTCCCAAGGTCAGACAGCTGGGCAAGCAGAGGAGCTGGGTTCAAACCCAGGAATTACAAGTCTGGAGCATGTTCACTTGATTTTTGTACCTGCCGGGAGGCAGGAGACTGAATGAATGAAAATCAGTGTAGGTCTGTGAACTGAACGTGGCTGGTTGGTGCCTTTGAAAAAGGTTTTAAATTCATTTATTCTCTGTTTGCCTGGGAGAACTAAAATGAAATGTGCAGAGGCGTTTCAGCTGATCTGTTCAGGGGTGCCTCCTCCTGAGTCCACGGAATGGCTGCTGTCTCTGTGCCCTGCTGCCAGGCCCTGGGTAGCCCCGCTTCCCTGGGAATCTGGCTCCAGTGACGCAGCCAGCCCTGTGTCCTTTTTATGGAAAAGTTTTCACACTGCAGGTGTCAGGGCTGGCCAGCACTGCTGGGAGCAGCACACAGCCTGGCGACTCTGGGAAGGCTGGTGTCCCCACTCCATTTTCAGGCCTTGCGGAGATTCCTGGTTGGCATCCACAAAGGGTGTTTCTTTGCTCTTCACACAGAAGCCAGAGGGCAGGGGTGGGGGCGGGGTGGGAGGCGGAGCTGCAGCCTTGCATGCCTGTAGCCCAGGGATCCTGGTGCCACCCTTCCCCTGTGAGCGGGAGCCGGGGAGGAGTCTAGCTAGAGTTGTGGCCATTTCCCTGGTGGTGGGCAGCAGTCTGCCAGGGGCGGAGCACCTCTGCTCAGGGCTCCTGTCCTTGGGGGACAGAGATGCTCATGGAATGCCTTGGTCAGGGTGGCTGTGGGGGATTCTGGAAGAGAGGATTGAGGTGAGCACGTTGCCTGTAGTCAGTACCTGGGTAGGCACACATGCTGTGGCCCCTTCAGCCAGCTAGCGTGGTAGCGCCCTGTGGATCCGAGCTGTACTGTGAGCAGTTTCTGAGTCATCTAAAGTGGGTACTTCACCACTTGACTCTCTGATCGCCAGTGTTGTCCTAAAAAAGCCGTAGGTTTTTTTGTTCCCATATGTTTCAACCTTGGTGAAGTGGACCTGGCCATTGCTTTTCATTCTGCTCTTGTTTTAGATAAGTCTGTTTAAACCACTTGGGTGCATTTATTTTTGTTGTCCTAACAATGAAGCTAACTAGGTGTTTAGTACTGATCTGTAAAAACAAGGTCAGAGTGCAGCGTCTCTTGTGGCAAGGGACCTTCTTCAGTGAATTTTTGTAAGCTGGGTTCTCCGTCGTTCTTAAGCCATGAAATGTGTAGGGGTGTTTAAAGGGGGTGTTTGGGTTTTGAACCCTGAGAGCAGGTATCCTCTTTGCTTTTGAGTAAAGATGTCCAGAGACATCATACCCCATGTCACCTTCCTGACAAGCCGGGTGTTTGGGGAGCTCCAGCCCCCTCTGGGGGCCGGGGGATGAGCCTTTGGTCATCAGCTGCATGGCAGGGCTTCCTGGGCAGCCAAGGGGCTTCTATCCCTGTGGATTCAGGCTCTGGTCACTGGCATGTCATCTGTCTGGTTCCACATTTCACCCCTGATTGAAGCTTTTCCCGGCTGGGGGATCTCAGTGCACATCACATCACCGGAAGCTGGCTTGGAAGTGACTTGGTCACAGTTTCTCTCTCTGGTCGAGGGCTAGACCAGCTCCCCCAAGAGAGCCCCCCAAGTCTCACTGACTTGAGTCTGGCCCAGGGCTGGGCTAGGTGGGGTGGGCTGGGGACTGCTGGGGCTAGGGATGGAAAAAGTACAGAGTTTTGGTGTCAGAAACTGCTGTCACATCTCGGCTCTGGGCTCCAGGCATGGTTCAGTCTCTCTGAATGCCCCTCTTCCAGGCTGTGGGATGAGGACGGCCATGCCTGCTTCCCAGGGTTCCTGCTGGGAACCAGCTGGCTGACTCCCATGGGTCAGCTCCCTGACCTTTGTCACCTGTGGCCTCTTATGAGATGGCGGTGGTGGACCTAGGGGTGTGTATGTGCACGGTCAGACAGATGTAGGGGTATGGCTGGCTGCTGAGGGGTGCATGGCAGGCTGGCAGAGAATGGGAGGCAGGCCTGGCTTTCCTGCTAGCCTCCTGGGGGCCCCTGGACTTCACCCCAGGGCACCCTCCTGCCGCTCCTCCCCTGGTGCACCTGTTGTGGCCACACTAGCCCCCTGGCTGCTCCCCAAGGTGCAGACAATCCATCTGAGGGCCTGGGCACTGGCCCTGCTCCCCTGAGACACTCCTTGACCTGATGTCCCCCAATGCAGGGACATCAGCCCCCTTCCCAGCTCCTCCATGCTGAGCTGGGCTGGGCCACCTCCCTCCCTCACCACCTGGCTGGTGCTGGTGGTGGACATTTCTTCCTGTGCTCCAGTGAAGTGGGCCATACTGGGAGCCATCAAGGGCCTGCCTTCAAGGAGTTCACTCCTTATTGACAGACTTACATACATGTATGATCATGTGTCTGATTGTAAACCGATGCATGTTACCTCAGTCTAGACTGGCACAGGACACTGCTGAACGGCTGCCAGTGAACAGAGGTGGGGGCGAAGGCTCAGGCCGTCTCATTCTTTTATGTATATAGGTGTGTGTGCATGTGTGATTACCTTTCATCTATCTGTCAATCATCTATGTCTGTATATATGTATCTATCAACACCTATTTATCATCTGGCCATCTGACTTCCATCCACATGTAGGGCAACGGAGTCCAGGACTTTGGGGGCAAGGGCTGCCTGGTGCCTTCTGGAAGCTGCCATGCCTTGGGTGCTGCAGGGAGAGTGGGAGCCACCCCTTGGGGCCCTTGTCTGTGGGTTGCTGTTTTGGGAATCCTAGTGCAGTGACGGCCATCGTGCCTGTAGACTTCTGCCCTTTTTTGGTAGTTTCTGCAGGATTCATTCCTTCTATTGCTCAGCCACATGCTTCAGGCCTTCTAAGCACTTTATATGTGTCCTGATGACCTGTCTGCCAAAATGTTGAATCAGCTTACATTTCACCAATATTTAAAGTATTTTTACTTTTAATTTTTGCTGTCCTTATAGACAAAAAGTCTCATGGTTTGGAGTTCCCATCTCCTGAGCCACTGAGGGTCTGGGGCAGGGATTGGGGAAGATGGGGGTTGGGGTGGAGCACAGGTGCGGGGCATGGGGCCTGAGCCTGTAGGCCAGTGTTCTGGGAAGTCAGGGAGATGTAGGCATGGCGGGGGCCAGCAGTAGTGGCACCCTGGGCTAGAGGCTCTAGGATGGGCAGTGTTCCAGTCACTGGTGGTAATCATCTCAGTCCCCAGACACCTAGAGGCAGTGTCTGGTCCTGGGGCAACCGGGAAACCAGCTGATGAGTGTGGATGCTTTGGAGCTTGCAACACGCTCCTCACAGGGGTGTGTGTGTCCCAGTTCCTGTGGTTGAGAAGGCCGAGGTCATGACTCTGTGGCCTGGAGCTGGCCCGAGCGAGTGTTGGTGTGGTCTCAGAAACTTCTGTCTGGTTGACCCTGAAGTGTCCGTGGTATTCACTATCTATCCCTTCATCTCATGCCAAGGTGAGCCAGGTGCCCAAGTGGTACACAGGTAGAGTCATGGTGTCAGGTTCTGTCCGAGAAGGGTTCCTGAGGGCCAGGATTGATGGGACACAGAACAGAGTGCCAGAGGCTCTGGCCTCCACAGCAGGCCCCCAGTGTCCTGCCATTCATTGTGCTGGGCACCTCCCACCCAGGTGTGTGCCTGGGTGGGACACAGAGCCCACCCCAGGGACCAGCGAGAGGGAGCTCCACAGGAGGTACGAGGGGAGGCGTGGCAGGACAGCTGTCCCCACAGCTGTCTCTGGGCCATGGAATTCTTTTCCCACCTCTGCCATCCATAACAAGACCTCGTACCTCCCTGAGCCTCAGTTTCCCCACTTCTAAAATGGGAGATAATGACTGCCCAAAACACTTGTGGGTGCATCTCCTGAGATAGTATCTGTGTAGCCTTAGTATAGCACATACCACCCCCCAACATGCGTGTGTGCATACACACGCACAGGCATGGGAGGGCTTGGGGCACCAATGTAACTATAACCTGAAGATTTTCTGCCTGTGTTGGGCTGCCTTTGTACAAAAAGAAAAGAGGAAATTTAGAATTCTCTCAAAGTCTTCAGTTTGAAGTAAATACTAAGGATGATAATAATAATGGCCAATATTGATTGAGTGTTTCCTGTATATAGATATATACAGACACCAGCGTTTACACGTGCCAGGGGACTGCTTGCTTTGCCCTGCCTGAGGGTTGTTGGGGTCCCACTGTGAACCTGTCTCTTGGTGGATTACGGGAATGGTGTCACTTGGGTTCTGAGGTCCTGGCTGAGAGCCTGATGAGCTGGACACCTTCCCGGGTGCTGAAATGAGCCAGTAGTTGGGGTTGCGATTGAATCTCGGAGCAGCACCTTCCTTCCTTCACAGTGGGGTTTGCACGTGTGGACTGGCAGGATGGGGAGAGTTCAGGGTGACCTCTGCGTTGTCATTTGCAGGCTCTGGGAGACGTCTCGCCATCTGCTTCTCTCTGCTGTGACAAACTGTGCAGGTGAGTGCCCGTCTCCTAGCCTGCTGGCATGTCTCTGACCCTGTTCAGGTCAAACCTCACACAGGAGACTGGGCATGGCGCTGTCTTATTCTGTCGTAATCTTAATTTCATTCTCAATTTTGAAATAAGTGCTCAAAGATAATACATATCTTGCTGATGTCTCTTTTTTGGGCTGTGATCTCCCAGCACTACAAGCCCAGATTATGGAAACGTGATTGTATTTCCGTAGTCACATAGCTGAGGCTTGACCATGGAGGCACAATATCAGGGCTTCCAGAAGTGAGTCTAGTGTGTGCAGCCAGCTCGTCTTTGTCTCCTAAGAGCAGAACCCTTGAGGCACAGCCACAGCATCACTGAGCCTGGGTGATCCCTCAAAGGGACTTCACTTGGCAAAGAAGTCACATTATTATTGTCATTATCTGTTCAAAATAACCTGATTTGATTATTGAAAGTATTTCAAACTCTTGAATCCATGCCTAGTACAAAAAAGGTGGAGGAAAAAGTCTTAGTAATTATTTGGGTCCTGATTTGAATAAACCAACTTTGAAAGGTAAGATTTTAGTTTTGACTGTTTGATGATATTGCTTCTGGAAGGTGTGGTGATGGCATTGTAGATATTTCTAAGAAAGTGTCTCTGTCTTTTAGAAGGAAATGCTAGGATATTTATGAATGACATAATATCTGGGATTTCTTCAAAGCAGTCAGAGTGGTGGGGGAGACAGTGGTGTGGGTGGAAAGAGGTTGGCCATGTGATTAATTTTGAAGTTGGTTGATGGGTGCATGGAGGTTTCTTAAACCATTTTGTATGTTTTCAAGATATTCCAAAATAAGGAGAAAAACATAAAATAGGAGTAGTAAGCAAACAACTACCACAAATCCCCAAAGCTGGTGTCCAGTTCTGATGGGCCAAAACCGCCATCTGGCAAGTGTCCTGCATCCCTCCACAGCTCCAGCTCAGGCCATCATTCCATGACCTCTCATCCCAGGCCCTACCCGCAGCCCTGGGGCCTCTCCTGGGAGGCGTTCTCTGGCTGTGGTCCCTGCAGCACCATCCCAGTGATGAGGGAAGTGGGGCCGAGTGTGTGTGGGAGGCACTGCCCTGACCTCCACGGCTCCCGGCTGGCCCCCTGCCAGCCAGCTGTAGCCAGGCCATCCTCCCTGGGCTGGACGTGCTTCTGCGTCTGCTCCCCTGCCCCTCTCATGCCTGATGCCGGGCTCACCCAGGGGCAGCCTCCTGCCTGGGCCTGCTGGCGGGGCCCTGCACACCTGTTTGGGTTCTGCCTCGATGCAGGAGGGTCCTGTCTATGGCTACCATCTGGGGCCTCTGCTCCCACTGCCCCCTCCCCAATATGCTTCAGCTCAGTGCTGTCTTGGAGCCTGGACAGGGCACCTGCTTCCTAGGATAAGGCCCTCCAAAGGCCCTCGGGGCTCTGCCTTCAGCCCTGTGGCACGGCCACGACCCTTCCCTCAGCTTATTCCTGGCGAGTAGTGTGGAGTGCCACTGGCATGACCCGTAGCCAGACTTCAGTGTGGGCTCTCGTAGGTGTAGAGGCAAGCAAGTCTCCAAAGCCTGTGGTCAGGCGCCTGTGCGAACCGGCGAGGGACGGACCTGTGCTGGTACTCCTGGTCCTGGCCACCCCCTGACGATCCCTCTCCCCAGGCCTATAGCACCCGGCGTCACCATGGAGGACGGCCGCGAGCTGGACCTCACCTATATCACCGAGCGCATCATCGCGGTGTCTTTTCCTGCCAGCTGCTCTGAGGAGTCCTACCTGCATAACCTGCAGGAGGTGACACACATGCTGAGGTCCAAACACGGGGACAACTACCTGGTGAGTGGGGGCGCTGAGCAGGAGGGTGGCAGGGGTCAGTGAGAAAACTGAGGACAGTGAGGACAACGGGGACAGTGGGGGCACTGTGGAGGCTTACCTGGGAAGACACTGAGCTCCCCCAAATGGCAGTCCCGTGTGACCTGGGGCTCCTTGCGCCTTGCTGGGGACACTCTCCGGGCAGGTGCGTGGATCCTGGGTTTACAGGCAGGAGGTTCATGGCAGGGAGACACATGCAGCGCAGTGACTTGTCCTCCCTGGCAGCCCCGCTGTTTGGTGGACAGTCATGTGTGTCTCAGGAAACGCAGCTTGTCCCCAGCTGTGGCTGCTGCCTGCCCCGCGCCTGTGGCATGTGTTGCCGGCTCTCAGGACAGGGTCAGCCCACCCCTAGTTGTGGGCTTGGCATCGCTGGCATCCAGTGGCTCTGTCCCCCCTGAGATGAGGTCTTCCTGGATGCCAGTGGGGGCTCCATCTCAACAATGCTTGTGACCCTGTGAGGAGAAATCAGGAGACCAGGGTCTTCCTGATTGTCGTCTAGCCTTGCCCTTAGTATATCCTGGGGTGGCCACAGCCCTGCACTTGTGCATGCGGCCCTGTGCTTGTGCGTGATTGCTATTAGAGCATTCAGTTACAGCCCCTGCTGCTCCTCTGGCTCTGCCCCTGTGAGGCCTCTTTATCTCCATTAAAGCAGCTAATCTTTACCCTAAAGGGACAAGGCAGTTATTGTCACCATTATCAGTCCTGTCAGATGACTAAGCAGGTGGGAGAGTGGCCCTGGGGGCACAGCCAAGTGGGAGGTGAACCCCGTCTGACTTTAAGTGCAGAGGCCCTGCTGGCCAGTGCAGAGTGTAGGGCCCTTCCTGGTGCAATTCCCAGCCCACTGCCGCCCACCTGCTCCAGTGCTCAGTGTGGCATGGCCCGCTCACAGGTGGGGACAGCAGTGTCCACGCCCTGAGGTGGTCCCTCCTGACTGGGGGCTCCTTATCTCCAGGATCCTCCCTCCTCAGAGGGCCGGCTGCTCAGCCCACACCCATCTGTCTCAGTCTCCTGACGCCTGGCCTGGGTGTCAGCCCTCTGCAACCCCTCCACGGTCCCTACTTCTCACCTGGCTCACTGTCTTCAGACCCCGGGCCTGGGCCCTGGATGGCAGGGGCCTGGGGTGGCTCTTCTCTTCATGCCAAGTAGGGCCTCATGGAGCCAGAGTCCCTTGCCAAATGACGAGGGTGGGGATCCCAAGGACCTTTCTGGAAAATCTGAAGACGTGTGTGTCTTGTGCGGCTCCTGAGTTCCCATCCCGCAGTGAGCTTCTGTACTCTGTAGACCTCCCAATTTCGTGCTGGCTGTGGTGACAGACAGCTCTGGGATCACAGCCCACTGACCTGGACATGTCCTGGCAAGGATAGAGTACTGAGGCGGCTTGTCCAGGAAAGGGCCCTTGGACAGGTCAGGGTGAAGTGGCCCCTTAGGTGCTCAGGAACCTGTCCCCAGTTCCCCTTAGGGTCCTCTCTGGGCACTAGTTTGCATGGGGCCCCACCCCCCACTGCCCTCCTCTCCTGGGCTGAGCTCCTGCATACCAGGCCCCACCTCCTGGGCAGCTGGGCCCAGGGCGCTATATGCCACCCTCATGTTTGCATGTTTCATTTGTTGTTTAGTGGTGACAGGTACACATCCACACTCTCTCCCATCCTTTGCAATCCTCAGCACCAGGGAGGCAAGTGTGCCGTGAAAATGCAGTGTGTTTCCTTTTTGAGCCCGCAGCACACTGATTTGCCTAATTGCTTTTTATTTCCCCTGCATAGGTATTAAACCTTTCAGAGAAGAGATATGACCTTACAAAGCTTAACCCAAAGGTACGGACCTTAAAACCTTATATTCTGTGTTTTGTAAAATGTCCACAATGTGCATCTTGCTCATGCAAAAATAGCTTATTTCAAGTCTTTGTGGGATGTGACTTGGTGAGGGGTACTAAGAACTGCTCATAGCCATGGACAATTTCTTAAAATTTATGTTTTAGATTGAAATAATCAAATATTCATGAAAAGGTGCAAAAATAATAGACCCCATGTATTCCTGACCCATTCTCCTGCTGTGGCAACATAATGTTATAACTAACAGTAAAATATTAATGCCTGGAAGTTGATAGTGGTGCAGCCACAGACTGCATTCAGCTCCCCTGGGCTTGCATGCAGCCATGCGTGTGTGTGGTTCTCTGCCATCTCATCCTGGGCCACCACCACTATGAACATTTCTATCCCGTATCTCCTTCCTGCCACCTCTGTACAGTCACAACCTTCCTCCATCCATTATTCATCTTACTAGCAAAGATTTAGGGGGAGAGTTTTAAGATTGCACTAAGTGTAAGTTACTCGATACATGATATATACACACACACATACATAGATATATATATTGCATATGCTGGAACATCTTGCAGCCATTAGAATAAAAAAACGTGTAAATTGGTGAATTGCCTGTTTTAATGCTAGTTAACAAAAGCAAAATGTGTATTATATGTGTGTGTGTGTGTAAGGCATCTCAACTATGCTAAATACATGGAGAAAAAGTCCAAGGGATTTTTCCAAAAGGTTACAGCCATTAAGTCTGAGTGGTGGATGGGGTGTGTGACTTTTCCTGTGTCCTGGCAGTTTTCTGAGTTTCGCCTTCATTTTATACCTTTTCTGTTGCTTTTATGATACTGTGCTTTGCCTCCCCTCTGTCCTTCCAAAAAGGAAGGTCAAATGGGAAGCAACAGTACTGGGTGGCTGCTGCAAACGTTAAAACTCAGGCTGTGTCCAGGGTTCTCAGAGTGGCTGTTTCTGTGCACAGACCCACTGTGTCCCTCATGGGAATGACTTGCTTGTTTGCGCAGGAATGGGAATCAAGGCTTGAAGGCAGTTCCTCCCTTCTGGACACATTCCTGTCCTTTGTGGAGTGTGCTTCCTCCCCACGTGTGGGTAGACGTCTCTCTCAGACCTTATCTGTGCGGTGCGTGGGGGAATAGCCCACTGCATTTTCCCAAAGTGTGTTTTTAGTCTGAATGAAGGAATTTTGACAGCAGTTTAGGCCAAGAACTCCTATTTTAGATCTTGCCAGGCCTCAGCCTCTCCTGAGCCTTGTGCCATTAGCGGCTTCTAAAGCCATTTCCAGAACTGTCATTCCAGCTGCAGAAGAGCAGGTAATACCCAGGAACAGATGTCTCATGTGGGCAACCCAGTCCTTCCTAGTTTTCTTTCCAGTAAAAGAGCCTGGCCATGATTCCTATTAAATTACAGAAAAGGAGTATGCAGCATCGTTCTTTACTCCCAGATGATATATTTTGGTAAATAAATAAGCCATCACATAATACCCCTGGAGGGCCTCCAGAGATGGCAATTGAGGAAGCCCCCTCTCGTTGCAGATTCTGGACGTGGGATGGCCAGAGCTGCATGCACCACCCCTGGACAAGGTGTGCACCATCTGCAAGGCACAGGAGTCCTGGCTGAACAGTGACCCCCAGCATGTGGTGGTCATCCATTGCAGGGTGAGTGCCTGCCACCACGTGGGCCCAGGGGCCACCTTTTCACTGTGACATCAAGACTCATGGGGTTTGTGATGAAGGTTTCACTTGCCTTTAAAAAATAAGTCATCCAACCTCCTAGAATTTGGCTCTGAGTTTACCGGGTTTAGGTCCCTGAGTGCATACGTGGACATTCTGAGCACGAATCCTTTCATCTGCGTGTACTTTTCTTTGTCATGGAAAGTCTTTTTTAAAGAGAAGGGCATTGATAGGATCCTCAGCAATGGGCTCTTGATGCCATCTGCGTTAAAGTAATTGGTCGGAGCTGGTGGGCAGGATGCTGTTGCTCCAAACCTATGGTCCTTTCCAAGCTGACTGCCCAACAGGGCATGACGTGCACATCTGTGCAGGATCAGGGGCTGGCTGTGGGAACGCAGAGCCATCATCCTTTGCCTCCTCTGCGCCCTCCTCAGACCTCCTGGACCTTTTCTCTCACTTCTCTGGTTTCTCAGCTGCCTTGAGTTGTTGGTAGGTCTCTCCACGCTACCCCAGACTCCTCAAATCTTATGGCGTTGATAGGGGCTAAGCCAAAGGCAGATTTCTTGAGGGATAAAGCTGGTGGGCTTAACCCTCCAGGAGATGTCGGGAGAGTCATTTTCCCAGCTGCACTGTGGGCCTGGTAGTGCATGGCCAGGCACCCTGAGAAGAGACTTCACTGTGGATGGCCTCAGTCCCCAAAGGAAGGGGCTGCTCCCCACTTTGTACATTATACAGCTGACCCTTTAACAACATGGGTCTGAGCTCTTTGGATTCAAGTATATATGGATTTCTTTTTGAGAAATGTATTGGAAGTTTTTTGGAGATTTATAACAATTTGAAGAAACATTTTCTATAGCTTACTTTATTGTGAGAATACAGTATATAATACATACGACATACCAAATACACGTTAATTGACTGTTTGTGTTATCAGTAGGCTTCTGGCTAACAGTAGGTCAGTAGTAGTTAAGTTTTGGGGGAGTCAAAAGTTATACACAGATTTTCAGCTACGCTGTGGGTTGGTACCCCCAACCCCTGTGTTCAAGAGTCAACTGCAAACCTCATTATTAAGACCATCAAACGTCTCGAAAATATTGACATTTACATCTTGAAATGTCTATTTTCTCAGACCTTTTGCACTCAAAAGCCGCACAAAAATCTGTTGCATTATGGAATTTAGGTAAAAAGAACCTCTTCCTAGGGTTGTAGCAGACTTTGCAAGTTACTTTCCTATGAGGGCAGTAAGATCTGCCTGTAGGGTGGATGGAAGACAGCTGCCGGCCATGTGCAAGGCTGCTGACTCCTGCTGTTTGCCAGTCACTTGGCATGGGTACAACAAATGGCATTTGTTTCCTCCATTTTTATTGCCTTCTCTTGCATCTCACTCAATTACATTCTCTGGCAAACAGCCAGGCACTCCCATTAGTTCTTTTTTTTACATTTTTTTGAAGTATAGCTGATAAACAACTCCTGTTAGTTCTGTTATCAAATTGTTAAAGTTAACGGGAGCCTTTTCAGGGTTGCATTATATTCAGGAACTTTTCTCCACATATATTTTGGTGCAGATTTAAAAAGAAGAGAGACTTCTTTCCTATTCTGATTCTTGTCAGTTAAAACAAACTCTGTTTTTCGTCAGGCTTGGCCTGGTGATTCTGAAGCAGTGAAGCCTGCACTGATGGCCATTGCTGCCTAAGATTGCTGCCCCAGCCTTTCTGAGCAGCCTTCCCTGACTCCGGCTGGGGCACATCAGGGCCTGGCGCTGGTCAGAACCGCAGATTCAACTCACCCAGACCTGCTGCCTGCTGTGTGCCCAGAGGATTCTGGCATGCTGGACCTTGAGAAGCACCCAATAGCCATTAATTCCTTTTGGTTGTTTCTTCGTATTTTTAATAAACTAAACTATAATGTTATTGACAACATCTGGGTTACAAGTGATGAGCTGACTGCATAGAGATCTTCAGAATGAGTTGTCTTCCTAATCAGTGTTGGTGGGATTAACCAGCAACACGTTGAGACTTCATGAATGATCTCATCTTTTGCACTGTTTTGGTGTTGTGCAGATCATTTCTGAGATGTTCTAGAAAATGTGCCATGAGAGATATGCCCTCCTTTAATCTAATCTTACACTGTTGATGTTAAGAGAAGGTCATCAGTCTCTGTGGGGTGAGACTGAAGACATTTGCCAAAACCTGTGTGCTCCACAAGAGGTGGGTTTCCTTCCACACATGCCGGGAATGAATGCAGAGCTGGCCCTCTCAGCCTGGGGAGGTCCAGGGCCAGACCGCCACTCTATCGGAGGCCAAGGGGGGTCCACCTCCATCTCCCCCTCCCTGTCCTCCCACCACTGATCATGGTGGAGCAGAAATAACCTGCTGTTCTTCTGAAAGGATTCACCCACCCCGCCTCCCCATTTGATCATGAGTCATTGTTGAAGGATACCCACAGCAAACTGTACAACCAGGGCTTCTGATTTTTCTTAAGAAGAGACAAAAACTTCAAGTCCTGAAGATTGTTGCTTGCACTAGAAGACTTCAGATCCATGACAAGAACCCACAAAAAGTGACTACTGCAGATAGCAGTGGTGAATGTTGCCATGTGTGCCCAGTTTGGCTGAGGTACTGTGTTCTTGCAGGTGAATTTATACAAGAGTCATACTAGCAGCTGTGCAGTTTAGGAGGGCTCAGCTGTAAGGGACCCATGTTGCATCCACACTGTGTCTACAAGGCATGCACTTGCCTTTCAGGGGACAGAGCAGGATGGTCCTGGGTGATGTACACATCTGTGGGTCTATAAGAATTTTGAGTTGAGTTTCCTCCGTTGTTTCTTTTTGAGGACAGACTCAGGGATCTGCAGTGTCCTTTATGTGATCTGAGTAGGCAATGGCTAACTTTTCTTGAAAGACTTACACAGAAATATTTTAGGTGCTTGGGGCTGCGTGGTCTCACCTTAACATCTCATACCTGCTGCTTCCCGTGGACATCGCCCCTGATGTACCTAAACAAATGGTGTGGATGTGTTCCAATTAAACTTGATTTGTGGACGCTGAAATTTGAACACCATATGATTGTCATGTGTCATGGAATATCATTCTTTGTTTTGTCTTCAACTGTTCAAAGACGTAAAAAATACCTCACAAGTTGTAGGCACACAGGTGGCGGGCAGACTTGGCCCATGGGTGGTGCTGTTCTGGGTTGTGGTGGAATGTTCCAGAAGGTGGCAGGCCATGGTTCTGGCTGAAGGCGGCTTGCCTTGTAGTTTGCTGGTTTTGGATACCCTTGCCTGTTGGTAGTGTTGGCTTGCGGTTTTGGGGGGCTGCCCTGTCTGGGCTGTGTGTGTCTGTGATTATGGACGGAGTGGTGCATTTTTGGACAGTGGTTCCCTGGTGTAACCAGGAATGGTTGGGCAGGCTGTCTAACAGACAGCTGGAGTCTGTCCTACTTTCTGGACTTCTCTGAGCTATCTGTGCAGCCCTCAAAACCTTCAGCCTGGGAGGGGTCCCTTCAGGTCTCTCCCACTTGGGTAATTAAGTCACATGAATTGCTTCCTTCCAGCACGGGGTCTTCTCGTCTTATTGGGAAATGGTGTCTGACTGGCCACCTCTGTGCACATCTGCCCTTGGGAGTGTCCATGGATGCCCTGCTGTTGGAACAGAGGGTGTATATATGCCTCTTGCCACGTTGGATGTTGCTGCCCTAGAACAGGGACCAGAGGAGGCTCACACTGGCTTCCCCTCCAAAGCAAGCTCTTTGCTATCCTGAGAACAAGCCAGCCTTTCTCTTCTAATTGCCTTCTGCCATGGGATTCGAGAGAAAATTGTTTCCTCTTTTGTCTCCTGCAGGGTGGAAAGGGACGTATTGGAGTGGTCATATCGTCCTACATGCACTTCACAAACGTCTCGGCCAGGTAGGAAGGACACGTCACACTGTGGGCGTTGGGAAGCTGTGGGTGGGCAGGGGGAGCTCAGCTGGCCACATCCTCTGCCACCAGCTCGTTGTGCCTGAGGAAGACCTTTCTTGGCTGCGCTGCTATGTATAATTCATACCAGTGACTCTGTGTAGGCAGCGAGAGTAAGACAGGTGCACTGACAAGCCATTCCCTAACAGACCGTCAGGCTGACGCTGGAACCCAAGGGCAGTGCGTCCTTGCTGGACGCCTCCTACCCTGCGAATGGTATGGCCTGGCTGCTGTGCTTTGTGAGTCCTGGGCCTCCTCAAAGTACTTCACACACTTTCTGTTTCTCCCTTGATCCTCCCAACAAACAGGGAAAGGAGGGTGGGGTAAGCTCCTCCTCTTCTGATGAGAGCACCGAGGCTCAGCAGAGCAGGCAACTTGCACAGGATCTCCTGGCTTCAGGCGGGAAGGGTCTCAGGAGGGGAAGGGTCACAGGACTCGGCTGCCACTGTGGGAGTTGGGGGCCACCCACAACAGTTAATGCCTTGGCCCTCCAGCTGGGGGTGGTGTGCGGTATATCCCACATGTGCCAAAACCCAGTTCAGGCCGTACCATTCTTGATGGGTCTGCACCTGTGTTTGCCCTCTTGTCAATGGCCACTTTGTGAAGCATGAACAACTCCCTTCTTAGGAAGTAGAAGCCAGTCCATGCAAGCCAATCAACCCTTTCCTTTCTGGCATTAATGGGTGAAATTTGACTTCGTGAATGTTTTCTCTGGAAATAAATTCGGGGGCTCATGCCCGCCAAGGAGGAAACCCAATGCCCAGTGAAAAATCAGGTCCTTTCTTGGTGATAATAAGCATTTGTGTGTGTGCCAGACAAATCGAGAGGCCTGGTCACATTGCATTGACTAAGCCAAGGACATTTGCTTAGAGACCAGATTTCAGCTGGTGGGTTCTGGATGGAGTCACCGCAGCACTGTGGCTCTGTCTGGAACCGAAGCCCCGGGGGCTGTGGGCCGTCCCAGCATTTTGAGAAGGCACGGAGACTAAGATTTATTTACTAAAAGCATGTGACATGCTTTCTAAAAGCCCTGCTTTTTCTACAGTCTGTGTATAGCTCACCAGCACCTGCCAGGCAGTTCTCATGAATCTCTGAGCCTCAGGTCCTCCTCACCTGTGTGTCCAGCAGTGTCTTGTGGGGTGTTTGTGATACTTCAGTGTATTGTTACACATGTGTCATTACAGAACAGCGCCAGCGCTCTGGTCATAGTCACCATTGGTGCTGCACGTCCTCACGGGAGTAATAGTATTAGGTATTTTCCGTTAAAGTGGAGTGACCCCATACTTTATGTAACCTGGTTTTCTGTGTTCATGCCCTTTGCTGTAGTGTGTTCCCTAACATCATTTAGGGACCACACAGCTCGCCACTCAGTGAACAGAATGTTACATGTGTAAGCATTTGCTTAAATCCAGGTTTCTTCCTGTGTTTCTTCAGGATTTTGGTTGCTTCCAATGGTTCAGTGCTCTGAAGCCTGCTGACGGGCATGTTCTTGTCTTCAATCGCTTCTGCTGTTTTCCCGTTAGGTGGTATCCCCTAGAGAAATCACAGGGGGCACACATTCTTAAGGTCTTTGTCACAGACCATGCTCAAGATCAAATCAGAAACTTTTATGTCAAAAGGAGCAAGAATGTTCTTGTCCAGCACTGTAAAAGATGAGAATTCATAAAGATTGAGTCAGTGCTGATGTTACCAACACTAATTATGATATTAATACATAAATGTGGGCCCAGTGCCTGTCAGTGTTAATAATACAAGTGAACTCCAAAACAGGGACACTTAGGAGTGAATGGTAGATATGTAGCTCTATTTTCAGTTTAAACAGTATCTGCTCTCAATACGTTAAATATTCAGTGCTTAGGGGGGGGCCCTTCCGTTTGTTCCAGCCCAGCCCCTATTTGGACAGATGCAAGCAGTGAATAGCCATTTTATGTACAATTTTCATTAGCATTCTAAGGAGAGGGCCCCCACTTAGATCAGATTTTCAAGGACGCCTTTGGCTCAAATGGGATTTAGCTGTTAAGACTCACTACACTTACAGTCCACAGATTAAGTGATGTCAGAACAGGACCTCTCCATGAAAGCTCTATTATGGGGTTTCCGGAGGCTTCTGCTGAATGCACCTGCAGGCATGGTGGTGCTGGATGAAAGCACTGCCTGGGGCAGTGACATCAGGAACTTAATTGTGCAGCCCCAAGGCCTCTGTCAGTCCTCCTGCAATGGGCTGAGGCCTCCCGACTCCCTGAGAGGCTGCCCCCTGCAGGTCTCAGAGTTACCTCTTGGGGCTTGATGTGACGACTTGCTAAGTGCAGGTCTCAGGCTGAGCTGTGGTACCCGCCTGGTCCTCAGAGTTGGGTCTGCCAGCTGGTCTCATGCAGAGCCCGCTGAAACCCACCTGCTTTGTTTAGACAGTTAAGGAGGCCAGCCCTGTGCCCACAGGTGAGCAAGGGCAGGCAGGTGACTCCTATGAGCCATGTGTGTGGCACAGCTAAGTGCCATCCCTAAGATAGGGCACTTCAGACCCTGCAGGCTGGCTTCCCTGCTGGCCTGAACACATCCCTGTGGGGGAATCAGGGCCGCAGAGAAAGCACTAAAGCCGATGGGCACCTGTGTTAACGCCCTGTCTCTCTCTCTCTCTCTCTCTTCTTCCCCAGTGCCGACCAGGCCCTCGACAGATTTGCAATGAAGAAGTTTTATGATGATAAAGTTTCAGATTTAATGCAGCCTTCTCAGAAGCGGTATGTATATGTCCCCGAGCCAGAATGGAAAGGTAAAATGGGATTTTACATTAAAAATGTGACAGAAGAGGCATCTCCTCTGACTGCCAAGAAGAGGTGGCAGGTGGCTTGTTGGTGCCCAGCAGTAACCAAAAGCCCCCTGTGTGTGGGTGGTGGGGAGCCCCTCACCCTGGCTGGCTCCACAAAGTGGACCCAGGACTCCCTTCCCCATGTGCTCAGCCATTGGGTCCACTAGGCTTGTGGCATGTATTGATTCTCATTGTTATATTGGACTGGTTTCTATCTGCTGGACCAGTGAACTGTGTCTGTATTGGACTGGGTGGTGGATGTTCTGGGGGTAGCAGGCTGTGTGGTCTCTTGTTACAGCTATTCTAACATGAGAGTAGCTGTACACAATAGGAAATGAGTGAATGTGGCTGTTTTCCAGTAAAACTTTATTGACATCACATATTTGTAGTTGGCTGGCTCCTGAATAGACCATCAGCTCTGGAGGCCAGGTGGTCTTTCTCTGTGTTGACCTTCCTTGGCCCACCTTCCCTTTTCTCCTGCTGTGGTGGCTCCCTTAAGATGCTCAGCTTGTGCCTCCGAAGAGCTCTGGGAAGCAGACTTCTTTTTTTGCTGCCTGCACCCAGGTGAGCCCACACCTTCATCCAGGAGCAGGGTCAGGGTGCATGGCAGCAAGAAGCGCCATACAGACGGGCTTCTATGAAGATGGAGCCAAGCACACTCATTGCATTTTCATTTTACAGTGAACAGCAGGGAATTTGCACAAGAATTGCAGGCAGTTGCCAATATGGTGTTCTGTCTTGGGCCTCTAACTCCCAACTCACAGCTATTGCTCCCATGCCGGAGAGCTTGGCAGCAGACCCAGTGGATGGAAGGAAGGTTCTGAGTGCATCTAAGAGGCAGAGTCAGAGATGTATTTCATCAGGAGTCAACCTGGATACTTTGATTTGGGAAAGGATTTCAAGGACCACCAAAGGCACCTCCTTTTGTGCTGGTGTTTCCCGTGGCTAAGTCTGTTTGTGTGTAGATCTGGCTATGAGGCTGAGCCTGCTCTGAGCAGACCTCACAGAGAGTGAGAGTTGCTTGTGGGAAAACCAGTGTTTCATTAGTAGTACAGTTAAGCTGCCCTCTGTTCTGTTTGAGCCATTAAGTGTCAATGCTTTGTTGAGCAGTTTCTCAATCGGCAACATTCATAGATGCTTCTGTGTGAAGAGAAGCCATGCAGGAGAGACACGTCCCAACACTCAGCTCAGGCCAGGGTAGGGCCTTCTCTTCTTTGGAACATTTTAACCCTCTTTCACAATCATACATTCAACCACCCCCACCTCTTTCTCTCTGTCCTCTCTTCCATGAGCTTGTGTTATTTTATTTTTAGGTTCCACGTATGAAAGATCATACGGTATTTGTCTTTCTCTGGCTTATTTCATTTAGAACAATGCCCTCTGGGTCCATCTAAGTTATTGCAAATGGAAGAGCTCATTCTTTTTCATGGCTGAGTCCACTTCAGTCACATACTCTCTCTCTCTCTCTCTCTCTCTCTGTCTCTATCTCTGTCACACACACACACACACACACACACACACACACACACACACACACACTGTCTTTATCCATTCATCTACTGATGGGCACTTAGATTATTTACATATCTTGGCTATTATAAATAATGCTGCTGTGAACATCGGGATGCAGGTGTCTTTTTAAATTAGAGATTTTGTTTTCTTCAGATATATTCTCAAAAGTGGAATTGCTGGGTCATGTGGTATTTTTACTTTTACTTTGATGAGGAATGCCCATATTGTTCTTCATCGTGGCTGTATGAGTTTACATTCCTAGAGGAGTGCACAGGAGTTCCCTTTTCTCTACATCCTTACTAACAATTGCTGTATTTTTTATGATAACCATTCTAACAGGTATGAAGTATCTCATTCTGGTTTTGATTTTCATTTCCCTGATATTAGTGAGGTTGAGCATATTTCATGTACTTGTTGGCCATCTGTATGTCTTCTTTGGAAAAATGTCAGTTCAGATCCTATTTCTTAATTGGACTTTTTGATTGTTTTTGAGTTGTGTTAGTTCTTTATATATTTTGGATATTAAACATGTGGTTTGCAGCTGTTTTTTCCCATTCTCTAGGTTATCTTTTCATTTGTTAATGGTTTCCTTTGCTGTGCAGAAGCTTTTCGGTTTGATGTAGCCTCACCTACTTATTGTTTCTTTTGCTTTTCGTGTAAGATCCCCCCCAAAATCATTGCCAAGACCAAGGTCAAGGAGCTTACTGCCTATGTTTTTAGGAGTTCTATGGTTTCAGGTCTTGTATTCAAATCTTTACTCCTTTTTGAGTTTATTTCTATTAAAGGGGCAAGATAGTGGTCCAGTTTCATTCTTTTTAATGTGGCTGTCCAGTTTCCCAAAATCATTTATTGAAGATACTGTTCTTTCCCCGTTGTATATTCTTGCCATGTTTGTCATAGATTAATTGACTGTATATGTGTGGTTTGATTTCTGGACTGTTTTATCCCACTGATCTATATGTATGATTTTTAGGACAGTGCCATACTGTTTTAATTCCTATAGCTTTGCAATACAGTTCAAAATTAGGGAGCATGACCCCAGCTTTGTTCTTCTTTCTCAAGATTGCTTTGGCTAGCCGAGTCTTTCATAGTTTCATACAAATTTTAGTATTTTTAGAATCTCTATATCTCTGAAAAATTTTGATAGGGACCACATTGAATCTGTAGATTGCTGAAATGTAGTATGGACACTTTAACAAGATTAACTCTTCCTATACGTAGCACATCTTTTCATTTATGTGTGTCATCTTCAATTTTTTAAATTAATGTCTTAAACTTTTCAGAGTATAGATCTCTCATCATCTTGGTTAGATTTAGTCCTAGGTATTTTATTCTTTTTGATGCATTTGTAAATAGGGTTATTTTCTTAATTTGTCTTTCTGATAGCTCATTATTAGTATATAGAAATGCAACAGATTTTTATCTCTTGATTTTGTGTCCTGCCACTTTACTGAGTTCATTTATCAGCTCTAATATTTTTTGGTGGAGTCTTTAGGTTTTCTATATATAGTATCATATCCTCTGCAAATAGAGTTTTACTTCTTCTTCACCAATTGGATGCCTTTTATATCTTTTTCTTGTCTGATTGCTGTGGCTTCCAGTACTAAATAAAATTGGTGAGAGTAGGCATCCCTGTCTTGTCCTGATCTTACAGGGAAAGCTTTCATTTTTTTGTCATTGAGTATGATGTTGGCTGTGGGTTTGTCATATGTGGCCTTTATTGTGTTGAGGTACTTTTCCTCTGTACCTGCTTTGTAGAGGGTTTTTATTATAAATGGATGCTGAATTTTATCAAATGCTTTCTCTGCATCTATTGAGATGATCAATGACTTTTTTCTTCTCATTGCCCAATGCCAGGGAAGAATGCCTAATTTTCTTCTTTTTATTGTACTATTTGCTGCAGCTTGTTAATAGCATTCCAAGTGTGGAGAAAAGGGAAAAAAAAACCTTATGTTGGCATGCCCACAGTTTTCATGTATCCTCCTGTCACTGCATACTTGAAGCTGTATCATTTCTGTTTTGTGACAGTGGTGTGGATTCCAAGGCTCATCTCAGTGCACCCACAGGTTAGGGGAATGTTACCCTGCCAGGCACATGCATTGGAATATGCTCACCAAATTACTGCTGCATGGGTGAATGGCTGAACAAATGCGTAAGGGAGTCTGGAGGAGTATTTGAGACCAGAAGAACTTGCCATGAGTGCGTTTGTGGGGGCAGACCCTGTAATGGGAGCCATCACTGTGGTCCCAAACGCCCTGAGGGGGAGTGCTGCAGGCTCTCTTAGGACCAGGGTCAGAAAATCATTTCAAAATCAATCTTCCAATAAGAGCAAATTAATGTTTGGAGTTTGTGGCCTGGAAAATTGGGAGCCTCTTCTGAGCCTTCACATAATTAATAGTGGATTTAGAGCTTGGGAGGCAGGAGTCCTGTCTGATGGGAGGTGAATCCTCTGTCACTTTGTTTCTTACTTTTAAAATCAGAGCAGTCAGCCTGTGGTGGCCTAGCCAGCAATGCCCATGTCACATTGCCTGTTTCCGGCAGAACTTTTGTGGCCAGGGCCACTTCTCTTTTTCTGCTTTCCAGTTCTCTTTGTATGGAGTCCTGGAGGTGCTGATGAACTTGGGGCTTCTTTCGCTTTGATAAATCATTAACAAACAAGTCCTTCTATGGTCTTAGCTTATCGCCTGCATCATGGAAGTGATGAGTTAAACGATGAGAGTTTCCCGCCTCCTTTTCCTCTCCACTTTTCCTTTCTTGCCAAGAAGGAGTTGAGATGACAGCACATATTTCTTGGCCCCATCACTTTGAGGTTATTCAGGAGGATGGTGGGGACAGTTAGCCTCTCTGGAAGCATGGGGCAAAGCGGACCCTAGGAATACAGGTGGGCATCATCCTGTGTCCTGTGAGGTGAAGAGAGAGCATGCAAGATGCCCTGGGCATTTCTAATAGCTGGCCTTGTCCTAACATGGCATTGTTGGGTTTTTGATATTTCTGTAGCTTTTGACTGGGCGCCTTGGGTGTTTGGAAGAACACTGCACATGAGGCAGGTGGATGTGAGGGAGCAGGTGTCCAGATCCTCCCTCTAAAGGAGGTGCTGCTGCTTGGTGTGCCCACTGTGGTCATCACCGAGAGCTTGCTCTCCCCTCCCCATGCCCTTCCATGCGCGATCGTGAGGTGGGCAGAGCACTGCTGTCCCCTTGCAACACTGTGGAACATCAGCCTATGAGCTGGGGTCTCACAGGCAGAACCAGGCTGGGGGCCCAGCCCACATCTCCCCGCCCTCCAAGCTGTCCCGGTGAGGCCTGGGGGTGAAATTTGGAAGCCTTAGGGAGAGATAGACCTTTACAGTGGCTCCTTCTGCTCATTAATGTAATGTTTTCAGGCTGATTCTTATATACTCACATTTTCAGGGAGATTTGAGCTTTTGTCAAGTTCATGTTTAAGGAGATTTAGGGAAATTCCAAATGTGGATTTCTGCTTTGGTAAATGGTTGTAAATGATTGGGGTGGATGCTGCAAATTTCAAGCTGCTCTGTAACAAGAATGAAATGTGTGTTCCTCTGTTAGCCCTCCACCATCTAAATGCTAGTTTCTAAAGGTTACTCCCTAGTTGAGAGGAAGCGTGGAGAACATTATCCCCACGGAGTTATTTTCCTCAAAAGAAAAAAAGGTAAGTGTGGGAAAATAAAGCAGTTTTCAAACAGCTCTGTTTAATCTGTGCGGCTATGAGAGCTGCCGGGCAGGCCGTGGGGAGAGACTTAGGTGGATCCGACACCCTGCCATCCTTCACCCACCCAACATCCGCTCAGCCTGCCTTCAGTGCAGGGGTGGGTACTGCGTGTACCAGGTGGGAACTGATCCTACCCACAATTTGCTGAGTGACCTAATTGTGAGTCATTTCACACTCCCATGGTCTGAATTTTCTGTGCTCTGGTCCTGCTGGTGGTCCCCAGACGGTCACCTGCAGACTTGGTCCTGTTACATGTGGCTTGGCCACCTGTCTGCAGGCTCCCACCTCTGCGCAGGTACAGGCCAGCTCAGCCGCAGACTCCAGCAGCAGCTATAGCCTATGTGGCAATGAACTTGGTGTTTTCATAAAGTGTTTGCATGGACACTGATCTCTTTGGAACTTGGAACAGTGCTAAGGACCACACTCAGGGGTCCTTAGGTGGTGCTGCTCAGCCTGTTTGTCTGAGGGACCCATGAGTTGTGAAAGGGTTTTGAAAACAGCAGGATGAGGTCACCCCATGAAAAGCTCATGGAAAATCCCACATTTGTTTTACTGTACAAAGGTTTTTGTTACCCCCCAACCTTGCTCACTAAAGTAAAATCGGTGCATGGAGGAAGAAGATATGCTTAATTTGTGGTGCTGAGCATTCCTAACACGCTGCCATGAGCCTCTAGGGCCATGGGTGTGCTCTGGGCTGAGCAGCACACAGGCTCCAGGGCTGCTGGCTGTCTGCTGTACGATCTGGAGGTCTGGATATGTCTGTGGTTAGTGGCCTGCAGGCCTCGGAGGAAGGCATCAGAGACAGTGAGGGGCCATCCCTGCCAGCATTCTGGGCCATAGACTGGTGTGAACAGGCCCCTGGCTGGGCACACAGAGCCGGGACCTCCCACTCATCTATGCAGACCATTAACCATCAATTTGTAATGGCTACAGGGAGGGAGCAAGTGTGCCGTTTCCACACTATCCAAATGCCTCACAAAAATAAATGCATGAATGGCCTTTGTCATGTGTCCCCATCTTAGGAGTGGGATAGCCGGGTGGTGGGGTCAGGGCTAGGCTTTCTTTAATGATGTTTCTGATTGCAGCTATGCTTGTTTAAAGTTTTGTGCTAAACCATTGCCATGTCACAAAATCCAGAACTTTGATTCAAGTTGTGAGTGTACTGCATCCTGTGAACAAGTAGCCAAGAAATTACTTCAGCTGCAAAAAGTCAGGCAGTAGAATTACAGAGTAGCATTTCACTAATAGATGACACCTGGAAGTAGAAACACATTTTAACTTTTTCCTATTAAGAAAGCACACGTAATAAGGAATAAGCTGTCTTTATTATCCTTTTCTGCCTTTAATTTACCTAAAGATATGAAGCAGATGTCTAAGAAGGGCAGATGAGAATCATGTGCCAAGAGCTTATTTTAAGAGTACCTTTTGTATTGTCTCAAATATGAACAGGCGAGGCCTCTGTGGACCCATCTGGGAGTTGGTGACTGCTTGGAGCTGGTCTCAGGAGGGAGGCGCAGGGGTCTGGGTTCCAGCCGCCCGTCCCCTCACAAACCTGACCCTTGTGAGGGCTGACCCTGGTGTTTGGGCTTCTTCTTTGGGATCTTCAGGGAAACAGCATCCTTCCAACTTGACCCTCTGTCCCTGAAAGAAGCAACTTTCTGTGTTCCCTCTGGCCGCTGGGTGGCAGTCCAGCCAGGCTTGACCAGGACCTCCATGTTTGGCTGAAAATGTGAAACAAACAGGCCACTGTGATGCCTGGTCCACGTGCTCCTGGGGTGTCCAGAGAATGGGGGGCCACAGGGCCCGGAGAGGCCAGTGCAGAGTCTTGAGCAAATGGCCAGATCCCACAGAGGGCACACACTGGGCTGCGCTGCCCATGGGCTGTGCGACTGTGGACATGGGTGGTCTGGTGCCCAGGGCTACCCAACACTGGCAGGAAGTACTGCTGTTCAGAGCAGCTGGGACTTAGACCCCCCCGCTACATATCATGATTCCTTCCTCTTTTGCTCAAAACCAGGGAGACGAAGGGCCCAGGAAAGCCAAGTGGGCAACATGTTGGTGTCTGAAGTGGTTCACCTGGATAGCAGGGTGTCTAGACAGCAGGATGGGTCCATGGAGCCACCTGGTGGTCAGGCCTGCTGTGGCCGCGCATCCAGCCCTGCGGCCCCGGGTTTTCCTCAGGCTCCCACATGGGGAGGTTTGTTCAGAAGCCAGCTGCCACCTGGAAAGTAGAGACACTGAAAGGTGCCTAGGCAGAAGCAGAAGCTCTTCTCCAAAATTTTCCTAAAAGGATGGACTGTAAGTAGGGTGTTTAAGCTTTGTTTTTAAAGTTTACCAGAAATTACCTATTGTTCCATTGGCTTTGTGCACAAATTCAGTGGCTGGAAATAATGGACCATGTCTGAATTGGAAGCATCAGTTTGAGAGTCCCAATAAGTTTGGCAGAGTCAGTGGCAGTCCGGTCGGATCCGGCAGGTGGTCACGCTGGAGGAGGGGATGGAGTACAGGCTGGAGGACCTGTGCTGGCGGCACAGGCTCGGAATTCAGTGATGGCCCTGCAGTGCCTGCTGGGCTCTGTGTAGGCATCGGGGGTCACACAGGTGGTTGGGCATCACCGTGTTTTTTTTTTTTTAATTAAGGTATCATTGATAGACAATCTTATGAAGGTTTCACATGAGCAACTTGGTGGTTTCAACATTCACCCTTATTATTAAATGCCCCCCACCACCCCATTGCAGTCGCTGTCCATCAGAGTAGTAAGATGCTATGGAGTCATTACTAGTCTTTTCCGTGCTGTACTGCCTTTCCCCATCATGGTGTGTTTTTTTCTGGACTCAGGTCTCTGGGTGGAGGGTGGGGCTGCCTCCTGGGCCTCTGGGGACCGGCAGTGAAGCTTCTGTGCAGAGCACAGGTGCACACCGTGGGCATGTGCAGCTGGCGGGTGCACAGGGCCACACGGGGTGTCGGAGAGAAGCCAGGTCTTCCCGGTGCCCAGCAGACACATAGGGACCGTGTGGAGGAGCTGGGGCAAGGGGCTCCCGGGACGGGCAGGAGGCCAGGTCCCATCTCCCCTCTCCATCACACAGGCTCTAGGTCCTTGTGGGAGCTGGGGGTGTGTGCTTCCACCCTGTGTTCTGGCACGGGCAGCAAAGGGCTGTGGGACCAAGAGCAGGGCTGAGTGTCCTTTGCCTTCAGATGTGTGCATCGGTGACTAGAGACTGTGATAGCCCTGCATGCAGCCTGACCTGCCCAGCTCTGGGTTGGGTGGCGCTGGTGCACTCCGAGGGCTGAGCTGGAGCAGGAGGTGCCCTGGCCACTGTGTCTGGATGCCCTGCCATGTCTGGCGCTGGAAGTGTGCAGATTTTTGAGAGAAGCATGCCTGGCTTCTCTCTCCAAGATGTGAGCCAGATGCTTGGGTGCCCAGGCCTATTGTGCTGGTAGTAGTTGGGGAATCATGGAAGTCCCATAACCCTGGGAAAAGCACGCTGTGACCTTATTTCCCTGGGGTAGCAGAGAGGGGCTCCAGGGCAGCTCTAAGCCAGCATACTTCACAGGTACGTGCAGTTTCTCAGTGGGCTCCTGTCGGGGACAGTGAAAATGAATGCCTCGCCCCTGTTCCTGCACTTGGTCATCCTGCATGGCATCCCCAACTTCGACACAGGTGGAGGTGAGTGTCCTGCCCACAGCAGTGATCTGAGATGTGCCAGCCCTGCACTGGCCTCAGTCCTCAGCCCTCCTGGTCACGGACTAAAGAAAGCCATCAGTGTGCAGCAGGGCTGGTGCAAGGGGGAGAACACAGGAGCCCCAGCATCCCCCTTGCTGTGGCTGGAAATGCTATAGCTCCCCTACACCTCGAAAGCCATCCCAGGGCCCCAGTTCCCGTGGGTCTGTGTGGTTCTTTACAGATGATCCTGCCTGTCTTTCAGCATGCCGGCCCTTTCTGAAGCTCTACCAAGCCATGCAGCCGGTGTACACATCGGGGATCTAGTAAGTGTGGCTGCTTTTGAGAGAGATTTCTGCAGAGCCCAGGAGATGGGCTGAGCTGCCCTGCTCATGGGAAGGGGATGGGGGATAGCAGAGGATGAGCTCCAGGGTCAGAGGCAGGTGCCCCCTCATCCCTTTCAGGAGGTGTCTTGCTGCTGTCACATCAGTTGGCTCCGTGAAGGGGCGTGGATGCTGGAGCCTGGAGGAGACACAGGCCCGCACAGTGGAGGCATGTGACAGCCCATTATGCTCTGCCTTTCTCTCCCCTTTGCATTGTAAGCAAAGGGCAGGCCTGGGCTCAGAGCTTACATGGCTTTTTGGGCTTTTCTCTATGTTTACATAAACATTTTATGAACATTCATGGACAATAAGTAAAGGTAAAAATTGTTCTCACCATGGTGCCACCACTCCAAACGAGCTTTGTCATGTTCCTGGACTTGTGGATGCACACAGGGGCAACACTCTGGCTGCCACACCCTCACTTACTGCGGAGTCTGTGGCTGTCTGCACGCCCGCACCACGGCTGCATGCCCCGCCGTGCACGGGCCTGGGGTGGGATCTTCATGTGGGTCACCGACCCCATGTTGCTGACCCTGGTCTGGCAGCTTTTTGGTACCTTTTTGACTCATTTCCACAGGAGAGAGTCTTAGGGATGGATTCCTGGGCCAAGCGGGATATTTTGTGTAGTTTCTGAGTTTTAAATTGTGTGATTGCTTTTCTCAAAATGCATTCTTTCTACATAATCATGAAATAGCACAATGATCTGCTTTTTTGTTTATCCTGAAGCAACATTGGCTCAGAAAACCAGAGTAGGATCTACATCGCCATAGAGCCGGCACAGCTCCTGAAAGGGGACATTATGGTGAGTTCTCACGGCAGCATTCCTGCTCACCCCCCATCACAGCCCAGAAGGGGGAAAAAAGTTGTCTTAAAGCAATGACACCACCCTCTCCCCTGAAAAAGCCTGTCGGAAGAATGAAAAGCAGCCTTCACCCTAAAGGCAGTTGGCTAATTTTATGTGTAAAGTTTCTTTAATAAAAGGGACAGAACAGATTGTTAGAGCCACTTGAAATGTACTCCATGGAAAGTAAACTTCTAACTAAGCCCACGTCCTTCTGGGTGCCCGTTTCTGACCGTGAATGCCATCTGCATTCTTGCAGATGACAGCGTGGGAAGAATGTAGTGATGGCATCAGCACTACTATTAGGTCAGAGGGGTGATTCTTCCAGAGGGCTTTGATTCTTGCGCCTGCTGGTTCTTGCTGCCACACTCTTGCCTTTTATCTGTTTTGAATATAGAAAGTTTTAAAACCCTACAAATCTGAGATAATTTCAGAGCAACGTGTCTGAGACAGGGAAGCCTGAAGGTGTACTTGGCCGCCTGTGTGGGGAGTTGCTTTCCTGCGCTGTCCGCTGGGCCGGGGAGGCAGCCGGGAGGGATGGAGGAGTTTGAGGGCTGGCTTTGCTTCCTGGTAGTGTACTTGGCTGTGAGGATTCTCTTATTTTCCCTAAAAGTTTGACTTTAAAACCCTTCCTTCATGGTTGGTGAATCCCCACCATGGCCCACCCTGGGCTCCCATGCAGATCGGTCACTGGCTCATGCTGTGCAGACTCCTGGGTGCCACATGCACTTTACAAACATGTTCTTCTATCCATGGCCTCCAGGGAAGGAGCTGGTGACCCATGTCCTAGGTGATAAGCCAAGGTGAGGGTGTTAATGCATTTTAGGCCCATTTGCTCAGCTGGTTTGTCGTGCATTGCCCCCAGGAGGAGGGACCTGGGGACAGGGTTTCCTTCTCTGGTGTTCTGCAGGGCAGCTCTGGCCTGCTTTCTGGGGTTAGAGAAGAGGGCAATGGGTGCCTGCTTCCTGTGCCCCCCAAGTCTCCCAGGATTTTCTGGGTAGCTGGGCAGAGGGCCCAGCAGTTGTTGTAGACCTGTTGTGTACTGGCATGACCAGGACTTCACACGGCTATGGCTTCCATCTGCCCACTGGCTCTGGGCACAGGGTCTAGCTTTCAGCCATAAAAGGAGGCTGAAGAACCCAGAGGGACCAAGAGAGTCTGGTAGCCAAGCTGTTAGGATGGGCATCTGGTTGTCTGGCCCCAGGCCCTCTGACTTGTCTGCCTGGCCTTGCATCTGCACGAGAGAGGGCTTTGAGTTGGAGTAGTCAGGCTGGGTGCTCTCTGTGACCCCAGGAGAGGAGTTATGGCTGAGTGCCCTTGTGATGACCCAGGGGAGGTGGCCAGAAGACTCTAGGAGCCTTGCGTGCCTGTGGACTGGTGGCAGCAGGGGTGGAGGGCCAGCCAGTCCACAGGTGGACGGGAGGCCTCGTCTGCTCTCTGTCCTCCTCCTGCCGCTGTCTCTTCCCTCCTGCCCCTTGCCCTCCTGCCCTCCCTCCCTGCCCCTCTCCTCCTTGCCTCCATCTCTCCTCCGTCTCTCCCCCTTCTGTCTCCTCCCTCCCTCCCGCCTTCCTTCCTTACCATGAATGTATTTACCAACAGTCACGTCTGGAATGTGTGCAGCTTTCCGAGTCTCTGTTGGGTCCCAGCACAGGAAGGAAGGGAGGGACAGAGTGACATCTTTGTCCTGGAGGAGCCTGCTGGTGCAGTGGCCATTTGTGGGAGGGGGACCCACAGGAGGGTTCAGGCGGAAGTGACCTCTGAGTTGGGTGCAGGCCCTGGGGCTGAGGGCACAGCCTTCCTGGGTGGCTGTGGTTGGGACAGCCCTGCAGGGATCATTTGCCCTGAGGTGGAAGCCAGACGTTGTGGGCATGGATGTCTCCAGTTCCTCTTGGGAAATGGGGTGTTACTGTAAAGGCACTCATTACCCCTGAGGGCTGCTCATGGGGACGGGAGCTGCTCATGAGGAGCAGGGTGAAAGGAGGGTGGGTGCTTGGTCTTGGAGGAAGGGGCACACCCTGATGGGATGCACAGGTGGCAGATGGCAGGGCCCAGAGCCGGGGCAGCAGGCAGCTGCAGTGGCCCTGGGACCCCTGTATGGGCTCCAGTCAGGCTTTCAGCTTACAGGCTGGGTGGCCTCAGAGGCCCCTCTGCCTCTCTGAACCTGAAGCTCCCTCCATCAGTGAGGACCACATGGGGTCTGGACGATGAAATGAACTAGGACAGTGGCCTGGGTGAAACCACAGGAATGTGGGCACGGGCCTGCAGTTCCACATGGGGACCCTGCTGACCCTGCCCCACGCGCCCACTCATCCCACATGCTACGCCCCATGCCCCCTGCAGGGGCCGAGCACGGGCTGAGCAAGCACCACCAGGCCCTCCTTCAGCTGGCCTGCTGTCTGAGCCGGGTGTGGGGGGGAGCATTCCAGAGGCTGGTGGGAGGTCATGCTGGCCTTGGAACTGAGAGGCAGGTCCCGGACTGGGGAGGGGCAGATGGGGGCCACGGGTGGGTGCCGAGGCCCGACATGCTGGGGTCTGGCTATGCGAGCTCCATGCAGCAGCAGCTGAGCTGAAAGGCTGGGTTGTCTTCAAATGAAAGGTGGTGCCTCTGGGCACCCTCGGCCTCATGAGCCGTGCCTACCACCACCCGTCCGTGGTTGTCAGGGGTGTTCGTAAGCACCCTGGTCCAGTGGCAGGCAGGGCTCACTCTGGCATCCAGCTCTTCCCTGGGCCTTCTCTGTGACAGCAGGAAGTCTGAAAGGTTGGCTATTTGGCCCTCCTCAGGAAATTTCATTTCCACCACACCCCTGTGATCTGCTAGGTGGTGAGGGCCAACCAGTGAGGACTCAGGGACTACCTGCTGGGTCCCCCTCAGGGATGAGGGCAGGTCTGGGCTGGGGAAGATGCTGAGACAGTCCCATGTCTGGGGCTGACATCCTGAAGCCATGGATGCTGTGTGGCCCCTTTACAGAGCTGAGCTGGGCTTTTGGGCCCTTGACATCCTGTGTGGCCTCATCAAGGGGACTCCATGGTCACAGAGAGAACAGAGTGGGCGGAGTAGTGGCCCAGGAGTGAGAGGTGGTAGGAAGATTGCTGCCACATTTTAGGAAGAGGCATTGGGGGGGGGTGGTGGCTGGGGGTGCTTAGAGGCTGGTCCTGGGTGGTGTTTGTGCTGAAAGCACAGCTGGGAGGGCCAGGCCCCACGCTGCTCTGCTTCTCTCAGGTCCTGGGAGGTGAGAGTTCAGGGAAACAGACGAGGGGCCTGGCGTGGGCAATGGCTGTGTGTGTAGGCTTCCAGAAGATCTCTGCCCTCCAATGGGAGGGCTGATGCTGACCACCGCACCCCTGGCCCTGCGCCCTCCTGGTCCCTGCCATCTGGGGTGTCCTCTCTCCTCTCCTCTTGTCTCTAGTCCCACCCTGAGACCTCACCTTGCTGCCTTCTCGGTGGCTTTCCTCGTCTTTGGTGCAGCCTCTTCCCGGCTGTTGGCTTAGGCGCCTCCTCTCCTGGTGTCCCTCAGCTGTGCCAGCTCCTGCGCAGCCATCTGTACGTCTGCATGCCTGTGCGGTGGGTTCCCATCTTTCCAACCTGGGGCTTCTCTTGGCTCCAGTTGGCCCTCTGCCCTCCTCTCTGGGTCCACGCTGCCTCTTTCTGTGTCTGCCTGCTGGGGCAGACCGATGTGCCCACCGAGCTGGTTTCCGGGCCCCTCAGCTCTCCTTACACCCCAAATGTGAACATCCTCCGTGTCTCAAATCTCATCAGCCATGGAAGTCTGCACCCAGTCATGCCCAAATCCCAGCTCTGAGACCCACCATTTTCTTTCCAGGGCTGCTGCTGTGTGTCCCCCAGCCGTACTCCACACGATGGAACCCCTGTCTGAGTATGGCATTTCCCTGCTGTAGCCCAGTATCCCCTGCAGGAGAGGGAGGGGGCCCAAGTCCCTTCACACTGAGCAGGGAGCCCCTTGGTTTTTGGGTCTCCATCATGTCCTGTGAGGCTGATGATCTGCCACACTCTGACGTCCCCTTCCTCTGGGTCACCACCCTGGCAGGCTGGGGGCATTGCTGCCATAACTGGCTCACCTGGTGCTCCCTCCCTTAGACTGTTCCACCATCCATCCAATGGGTGTCTCCCTCTGCTTCCCCAGAGAATGCCAAACTCTTGAGTCAGGGCCGTGAACCTACTGTAGCCTCCCCAGAGCCGGTCACTGTGATTGTCATGTGTGATCTGCCTATAGGAGTGGGCACTGTGTACAGCGTGCCATCACTGTCCCCACCTTACAGTCTAGAGCCTACAGTGGAGGCAGGAATTCCTGTCAGCCTCGGCTGTTTGCACTGTCAGCCTTGTGCAAAGGCAGGAATTCCTGGCCTGCTGGGGCTTCTGGCCCCTTGGTGGGTGGGGACCCTGCCACCATGGGTACCCCAGGCCTGCCTGCCTTAGTGCAGAGGTGGTTCAGCCTGAAGAACTGGTGTTGGGCGAGTTCTGGCATTCAGGTGTCGGGGAGCTGTGGGTTTCTTGGAGTGTGTGTTTCATGCCCCGGAGCCTCAATGTGTGTTTTCATCAGAAATGCTGTCAAGTAGGCTCACCCTGATCTTTGCACAGGACATGCTACCTTGATAACACAGTCCCCTTCCTGCACCGCTCTGCATTCCTAACCAGTTTATTTTTAGGATTGTATTATTGTTTGATTTATTCTTCCTGTGTTTACAATTCATTTTTGTATACTCTGCACTTATTTTCTGCAGCATTATCAGATGGGTGGGGAGGACGTGGGTTACAGCTGGCAAGTGGTGTTTTTCCATCACACAGGGTAAATTTTCCTTATGCTGTTCACAGAAATAATGACCAAAGGGGCATTGCTCCATTATCTCTAAGAAGCCTGGAAGTTGTTTTCACCTCTTATATGGGTTTCCCAGGACTGCAGTAACAAAGCGGCACAGACAGTGATGGCTCCCAGGCCCAGGGC